CACACACTCTCACAAACACACACTCTCACAAACACACACACACACACACACACACACACACATACTCACACACACACACACACACACTCATACTCACACACACACAATGATAGAAAGGAAGGTTTGTGGTCACAGCACCTGTATCTCGGCGTCTGGTTGATTGCATGATGATTAAAATAACCTTCCTTATGCAGAGCAGTTTCTGCTGGGGAGATGTACAGCCGTTCAGCTGACTCAACTCCCACTTAGCACGAGGAATATTTATACTACAAGAGAGAGAAGTGACAAATGATCACTAAATCATTTCATACTCTTGCAGAGTCTCTATATTCTTTTCAAAACGCTTGTTTAAAATAACAGACACTTTGTAAAGTAATGCCAGATATTTTTCTGTTATTTTGCATGTCTCGGTGATATTCTGGACTCAGGTCCTTCCCACGGTGTTAGTCTACAGCTCTCGAATAACTCAAAAATACCGAACAATAGTAGTAGTGGTTTGGCTTAGCAAACTCTAATGAAACACACCTAGCGATAGAACGGCTCACCTGAATTCTGACTTCACACCAAGCTCTTTCTGCTGCAGATCCTGTAAGGACCGTGTTGTTTTGTTGAATGCTGCATCCTGTCAAGACAAACAGTACATTAATAAAGGGAAATAATGCATCACTGCAGTGATCACCAACTTTTACTACAGCCATACAGAGCACATTATGTTAAAAACACACATTGAGGTGAAAATTAGGTAATTAATGGTAAACCAGTACCCGACTTGCTTCAAGAGTCCCCACATAACTAAAGAGTAGATCATGGATGCCATGATGGATGTACATCTGAAAATGGAAGAAAGAAATTATAAAAAAAAAAAAATTGGGCAAAGTTATACGTTTAAAAAACAATGCATTTTTTAACTGACCTCCACTGCTTGTTTGAGTAGAGTCATCTGTATCTCCTGTCTCACCAAAATCTTCTGAAATTGAGACATTTTACATTATAAGCTTCAGGAAAGAATCAGTTTTTTAAAGTATTGAAGTTCATAAAACAGCTTACCAGACGAGAGTCCCTCAACAGCAACTGAAGACATTTTGTGTAAAGAGTATTTACAGAGTCCTGAAGGATTGGGGGAGAAGAATAAATCCATAATAAAATGACCTTAAATACAAAGTGTTACATACAGTGTGATTTTTCTTTCCTGGTTATAACTAGGGCTGCAACAACTAATTGATAACATCGATTATGAAAATCATAGACAACGATTCTCATTATCGATTAGTTGGGACTGCCCTCAGTGCACGTCCAACTTCAGCGTCAAATTACAGCACTGAATTACGCATTTCTATGGACAAAATGCATCTAAAAATAGTGGAGGAAACAGAATAAGATGCTGCGGGAGAGTTACGTGATCCAAGCTGCCCAAAACATGAGAATTCTTTATTTTAAATTTAAGCTAATGCATTAGCGTGATGGATTTGGCAGATGCGTGTGCGTCCTCAGCACAAAAACTTTTAGTTTACGGTCATATCCTTATGTATAAATGTCACAAATTCACGCGAGCATTTCCATTTTTGCATAAAGGTCCATCCTGAGAGTCTGTGTTAAGTTTTAATCTTTACTGAATGAGCAGCGTGGCATGCACGCACGTCAGACAGACGGAAAACAGAGACAATTAATAATCAGCGCAAAAACATTTATTGTGCTGAAATATCTGTTGTTGAAAATTAAATTAAGGTTTAAAGGTCAACATGCACTGCGAGTATTTTATGAGAGTAGGAACTGAGAAGAATAAATCCATAATAAAATGACCTTAAATACAAAGTGTTACATACAGTGTGATTTTTCTTTCCTGGTTATAACTAGGGCTGCAACAACTAATTGATAACATCGATTATGAAAATCATAGACAACGATTCTCATTATCGATTAGTTGGGACTGCCCTCAGTGCACGTCCAACTTCAGCGTCAAATTACAGCACTGAATTACGCATTTCTATGGACAAAATGCATCTAAAAATAGTGGAGGAAACAGAATAAGATGCTGCGGGAGAGTTACGTGATCCAAGCTGCCCAAAACATGAGAATTCTTTATTTTAAATTTAAGCTAATGCATTAGCGTGATGGATTTGGCAGATGCGTGTGCGTCCTCAGCACAAAAACTTTTAGTTTACGGTCATATCCTTATGTATAAATGTCACAAATTCACGCGAGCATTTCCATTTTTGCATAAAGGTCCATCCTGAGAGTCTGTGTTAAGTTTTAATCTTTACTGAATGAGCGGCGTGGCATGCACGCACGTCAGACAGACGGAAAACAGAGACAATTAATAATCAGCGCAAAAACATTTATTGTGCTGAAATATCTGTTGTTGAAAATTAAATTAAGGTTTAAAGGTCAACATGCATTGCGAGTATTTTATGAGAGTAGGAACTTTAAGGGGATAACAGCGTGTAATTGTCTGAATATCAATATCAGACGCTTCATAACCTCCTTACACAGGATAAAGAAATAACAGTAAGATGTGACTGTGAACATTACTCTTACCTATTGGTTACAACTGAGTTTGTGATTTTATTAGTCTTTATCATCTTTATTATTTAATTTTTAATGCAGAGATTTAAACTATATTAACTACATACAATGCTTAAATGTATTAAAACAAATAAGGTTTTTAACAAATTATGGTTTGTGCCACTGCTGCTCTAAACTAACAGTAATGGTGATTACCAAAATCATTTTTTAGCTTTCTATATGGGTTAGTCCTCCAATATGCGTAAGCTCTTTAGTAACAGTAGTAGGCTATTTCTAATGCTATAATATAATTATTGCTGATATCTATGAAAGAAAGGCAGAGAGCTTTATAGTGTTTTTTTCAGATACCCAATTAGTCAAAAAGTACATAAACAATGGCAGCAAGAATGCAAGCTGTTATGAAGGGCATAGGAGGCCTTTTTTATGTGAATAAATACTATTTAGTTGTTTAAGTTTATTTTATTTTTTGACAGATTCCTAAAAAGTGTTTTCTCTTTATTATCTAATAAATTGTTAAGCACTGTATGTTTTCATAGCATTCAGTTGGCACGTTTGTTTGAGGGACATTGGGCAGAATGTGGAATAGTGTGTTTTTGTCAACAAAAAAAAAATATATATTTGTTTAATCCGATTAATCGGAAAAATTATCGACCAACTAATCGATTACCAAAATAATCGTTAGTTGCAGCCCTAGTTATAACTGTTATTATAGTTATACAATAAACTGTATCTGGCTTTTAATTCAACGTAAACTGGGCAGCATCAAGCCCTGTATTACCTAAATAAACTGATCAAATCAAAATCTAATCAGGAGCTTGTGAATCGCACTTGAATAGAGTTTAAAAAGCTGTATCAATATCCAGCCTATTTACCCCATCCAAACCATTTCATAATTTTGGTAATAAGACGGTCTCAAAAAATCTAGGTTGGCACGTTTGTTTGAGGGACATTGGGCAGAATGTGGAATAGTGTCTTTTTGTCAACAACAAAAAAATATATATATTTGTTTAATCCGATTAATCGAAAAAATTATCGACCAACTAATCGATTAACAAAATAATCGTTAGTTGCAGCCCTAGTTATAACTGTTATTATAGTTATACAATAAACTGTATCTGGCTTTTAATTCAACGTAAACTGGGCAGCATCAAGCCCTGTATTACCTAAATAAACTGATCAAATCAAAATCTAATCAGGAGCTTGTGAATCGCACTTGAATAGAGTTTAAAAAGCTGTATCAATATCCAGCCTATTTACCCCATCCAAACCATTTCATAATTTTGGTAATAAGACGGTCTCAAAAAATCTAGAAAATTCCCATTATGATGGGTTTCAAATAATGATTGCAATGAGACTTAACTTCTCATATTAAACATGATGGCGGCGCGCAAAGACGCAGCGGCTGAGAGCTCTCTGAAGTGGAACTATATTCTGTTGTTACTTTTGATCTTTAGGTTTCTTTTAGGACTAATTCATATATTTTTTAGGAATATTTATTTATTTATATGTATGTTTTTTTTATAAGTGTGAATGTATAGATGTTATAGTTGCATTTCCATGAGAGATATGGAATTTCGTTGTATGCCACATGCAATGGCAATAAAGGTATTCAATTCAATTCAATTAATGAATAATCTATGTCATCAGGCTCTGATTAGCACTAATGTGGATAAAAACAAGAAACTTTGTAATGTAAAGAGTGTGGCTCACTATTTGATGTCGAAGGCCCTTCCACTCTTGTTCCTTTAAGGAGTGACAAAAGGCGGCCACAAGCTTGTCCAGTTTTTCAGCATGACGGCCCAAGAATTCCCTCGCATCCTCGATATTCTTCAGACAGTACGGAGCAGAAACAGTACTTAAATCCTCTGCGAAAGCTGAAGAAAGAGAAACAGAATCAAAACGTTAGTCCAGCGAACAATACATTTACATTATTCAACCTCAACCTAACCAGGCATGTTGCAACAAGATGTCAATAAATCACTAAATCTTTTCATTGTTGATCTGAATTTTTGACTATCAAATCACCAGGGCTGTGGTCAGCGTCGAAGGGCCGCGTGATGCACAGTATGCTGTAGGCCTGCTCTTTCTCATTGTAGAATGTCTCCTCAAACAGGACGGGGACAGAGGTGGGATTGGGAAACCCTGCACCCAGCCGGACTTGGTTATTGTCTATAGACACTTCCTGGAAGATATGTCACACAAAACAGCTGTTCGGTTACAGACAGCATCCAGAAATTCCATTCTGATGATACATGTAGAACTATGCGGGATTTTACATACCTTTCCATCCAGCGTCTGGTAACCCTGTTCGGCAGGCTGAAGCACGTATCTGTCGAACTGAGATGCTGTAAAAGAGCCCGCTGGTAAACTTCCACAACACGGCACCAGAATCTAAAACAAACATCACACAATAAATAACAGCCTACATAACACAACCACAACCAGCCTAGGTAGCAAAAAATGGATGCATTAGTTCGCTCAAAAACTACAATTCTGTTAATCAAAGCACTTTCATATTAAAGGGTTAGTTCACCCCGGAATGAAAATTATGTCATTAATTACTCACGCCATTTCAAACCCGTAAGACCTTCGTCCATCTCTGGAACACAAATTAAGACATTTTTGATGAAATCCGAGAGCTTTCTGTCCCTGCATAGACAGCAATGCAACTGATATGTTCCCAGACCCAGAAACATAGTAAGGACATCGATAAAACAGTCAACGTGACATCAGTGCCTCAACTGTAATTTTACAGAGCTGCAAGAATACTTTTTGTGCGCAAACAAAACAAAAATAATTACTTTATTCAACAATCCTTCTCCTCCAAATCACTCCTTCCACCATTATCGAAAGTAGTTGCATTGTATGTACTGTTGAATATGAACTGTATGAATTGTTGAATAAAGACGTTATTTTTTTATGCACAAAAATTATTCTCGTAGTGTCATAAAATTATGATTGAACCATTGATGACAAATGGACTGTTTTATCGATGTCCTTACTACGTAACTTTTCAGTTGCGTTGCTGTCTATGGAGGGTCAGAAAGCTCTCGGATTTCATCAAACATATCTTAATTCATGTTAGAGGTCTGCGCGGGTCTATTTTTTCAGTCCCGCTCCCACAAGGTTATATTCCGCACCCACCCGCTGCCACTATATATTCACTCTTTGTTCACCCGCTGTCCGCTTAGAATAATTTTCTTCCCGACCCAACCGTTCCCGCTAAATTTAGATCTTGTTTGCAGAATCTCACATTTAAATTTCCGATACTGAAAGACAGACAGATAGGCTAACAAATAATAGTGTAGTCTGCACAAAATTGTATGTTATTTTATTCGTCTTGAATTTATATGAATTATCTTAAGACACAACATTCGTTTAATATTTTATGCAACACAGTAGGAAAAAAAAAATTTCTTTTTTTTTTTCGTCTTGTCAGGATACAATTTGTTTAACATTTACAACACAGTAGGAAAAAACTGTCGCAGAGAGTAAAAAAATTATGTAGGTTGTACAAAAATAGCCTATTAGCTAGGCTATTTTTATTCGTCTTGTCAAACTACTAAATTAGTTTGACAATTTTTCTGTTAACACAGTAGGAAAAGTGTCGCAGAGAAAAATAAATAAATATGACATCTGTCATTTAAAATTATAGGCCAAGCAAAATATAATCAAAACCGAGTTGACCGTCCTTCAAGGACAGCGCATCCACATTTTACTCCATCCTTATTCTGCTGTCACTCATCGATAACCTGCCTGTTCTGTCTGAGGGCTGCTCTTTATTTTTTAGCACAGGTACAGCCTGCTCTGAGCATCGTTATGCACATGCTGCACTCAGACCCCGCAAATAAAACGCGTGACGTTTAAAGCATGCGTGCAGCGCGTGCATAACAGTCCGAGTGCAGGCTGTATCGGTGGTCAATAAGAATAAAGCGCAGATATGCTGTTCTGAATGGACGTCGGGAACGGGATATTGTTAGACCGCCTGCTCCCTTTCAAATTACACCAGAGTTACCGACCGCTACCGCGTTTTAATCGGGAATTTAATCCCGCGGCGCAAAAAATCTGTTCGGTTCTCGCGGCTCCCGCGACCTCTGTGCAGACCTCTAATTCATTTTCCGAAGATAAACGAAGGTCTTACGGGTTTAGAACGACATGAGGGTGAGTAGTTAATGACAGAATTTTAGTTTTTTGATGAAATATCCCTTTAACGCAACTTCTTCTAAATTCCGCGTGCTAAGAAGGTCTTTGCATTTCACCATGCGAAGGTGTAACTGCACTCTTCCTTCCTTTAGGAGCTTTGAAGTACAGCTCCCTGGTCATGTGAACTTTTCTGGTGTGTTTCATCCTCTTTTTGATATATTGTTACTAAATGTTTCTTTTGAGTTCACAGAAGACAAAGCCATATGGATTTAGAACAACTAATATGGATGTAGGGGAGTAAATGATATCAAAATGTAATAGTGTTTTATCACTCTTTGATATAATGGCAACCAAAATGAGACTCCAATGTTCAATAAATAGTCATATTTGTTAATATTGATAGACCTTAGTCAGGGTAGTGCCATGTTTCATTTTTGTCAGGAATGAAAACAAGGCTGAGTACAGTGGGTTCAATGGATTGCATTGTTGTTTAACAATATTCCAATTGTTCAGCTGACATAACATTGTTCCAGAATACTTTCAGTAGACAAAAACTCCATGTGATCTAGGACCTTTATACAGTGAATGCAACTGGAAAAGACTAAAGTCTACTCCCCAGCCTCATTTTCATTCATGTAAAATCTACCCTGACTAAAGTCTATTCAATTCAAGTAATTTTGTTCTTTAGTCTAAATGGAAGCAATTTTATGGGTGTTAAGCAATGCTGAAACTTCAATTACACACAGTATTAAGGCCTTTTCACACTGAACGCAAAAATCGTAAAAACGTTTTTGAATCGAAACACCAGGCACGATCATTCATGGCACGAAAAAGTGATTATTTTCTTTGGTCCTGTGTTTGTCGATTTTTTCCCCATCGCTCTGCGATGAAACGGCCATCCAATCCAGATTTGAGTTAAGATCACGTTCCCGGAGTAGCTGCTGATGCACTAAAAGGTGAGAGTGGTGGCGCGGTTTCCAAAACTAGTGTAAACAAACACAGGAGATGCTGAGTTCTTGTTATCGTTGGTATTTGAGAACAGATTTATTCTCACATGTTCTTTATACAGAATAACATTTACTATTAATTCTCCACTGAACTGTGATCTGAAGAGCACCGTCCGTTTTATTCCACGAGTGTTATGAGTCAGAGCATGTTCACTCTAGACCTGTCAATCGTGTAATCATAACTCTTGCCTTTCCATACATTAAAATAAAAATAGGGAAACATTTCTCAACACATAAAATATGAAAGCAAATGATGGTCTGTATATGTTTTCATGCAGCTCATGGTATTTATAACAACAAAGGATGGTTATGACAAATGACAGGTAGCGTTCAGTCCATTATAAAACATACAAAGAGTGTGCATGCCTATTATAGAATCAAAATCCATTTTAGATCACAATCAGAAGTTATAATAAGCACTCGATGATGATTTAAAGTGGGGTTTGAGCAAAAGCATTAATAATTGCATACATTTTGAAATGTAGCTTGATGCTAATTGTACCTCTAATTATATTTTCTGATGAATTCTTGTAAACATTATGGACAGTTTGTGTTTCTGATGAAGAACCAAAAGTTACAGTGGGGAAAAAAAGTATTTAGTCAGCCACCAATTGTGCAAGTTCTCCCACTTAAAAAGATGAGAGAGGCCTGTAATTTTCATCATAGGTATACCTCAACTATGAGAGACAAAATGAGAAAAAAAAAATCCAGAAAATCACATTGTAGGATTTTTAAAGAATTTATTTGCAAATTATGGTGGAAAACAAGTATTTGGTCAATAACAAAATTTCATCTCAATACTTTGTTATATACACTTTGTTGGCAATGACAGAGGTCAAACATTTTCTGTAAGTCTTCACAAGGTTTTCACACACTGTTGCTGGTAATTTGGACCATTCCTCCATGCAGATCTACCGCTGATAAGCTACTACTAAATATTGTAGAAATTAATTTGCTGTAAAGTTACTTTGCAACTATTTGCTATGCAAATACACTTGAATATTGAGCAGTAAGCGATGTACAAGCCATATACGAGACAGGCTACATGAGGAAAAAAACGCATTGCTGGTTGGCGCCACCTAGCGCGCAGGAGTGAATTAGCAGAAGTCAATAAATCGTTTGTGCACCGTTCGTCGGCGATTCGCCTCGCGTTTTTGCACTGTATATAGCAGTTCGTTTTGGTCATTGGATTTAATTGGTTGAGCGGTGTTCCAAAAGGTGCTGATATTCAATCCAACATCACTGGGACTTTTCACCGTTTCACTCGACTTGTCAGTGTGTGGGATTTTTTTGGTGAACCTTTCTGCAGGTTAAATTGTTACACAAGTAGGTGGTGACAAGTGGCTATGTGGTTCACAAGAGATTCACTGAATTATTCACTCAACCAATTCACAATTAAAACTACTACTGTGTGTTGTGTGGGCAAACAATGGTTGATCCTGCTTTGGCTTTGTTCGGGTCTATTTTTATAGAGTGCTGGAGGATTGAATTCTAAACCCTGGAAATGAGCATCTTTGCATTTATGGTTCCATTAACCCGAAGTTAATGTTTTTTTTTTGTTCGCTTTTTTTGGTTAAGAGCCTGGAATTAAAGAAGCTCAACTGAACACAAGCTCAAAATAATGTTTTGTTCTAAAACATAAAATACACTACTTATACCTCACTTGTGAGCTTTCACATTTCTTGAGGGGGGAAAAAAACAGTTGAGATTGTTGGGGACATTACATTTTATCATGGCAAACAGGAAAACCCATCTACTCACTAGTGTGCTTTTACAGCCTTGTTGTGTTTATACTCACATGTCTGTATTCTAACTAACTTTCTAACTAGTAGATTTTGAATAAAGATTGAAAGAGTTGTCGGAAGCTTAGTGTGGTGACACAGAAGTTTGTTTATAGTTTAACTTGAGTTTTTAACTTCTGGCAATTGTATCTAGACTTCAAAACTAATAAAAGTTGAGTTTATTTGTAATAATATTATCTTGATGAAAAAAGTGTAAGAATCATATACTTCTGAGCACAGAGCATTTTTGCCTAAAAAATCAAAGGAAAATCCTATTGGCTTTTTGTCGAGGTATGCCATCACTGCAGAAATCCGTGGAGCAAAACTAAAAAAGTGACTTTAACTTGTAAAATGTATAAATGTAATTTGCTAAAAATTAACTGGTTTCATATTTTGAATTGATGCATAAAAACAATATCACACAAACAACTGTGCTGATATCCAGAACAACAGAACATGTTATATGGTGATATTTTAGCTAAAGTTTAAGCATTGATTTAAATTTTAGTTAAATCCGAGAGTTTGAGAATAAACCACAAGCATAATATTGTTATCAATACTTGGTTAACAGAACCTCTAACATAAAACAATCGGTTCATACACACAGAATCTTTTTCTGACCACATGTGAACAGACCACAGTCACATGAATGAATACATGACTAATTATGTTCCACAAATAAATCTGATTCTGTTCATCGTTTCAGTCGCCAACAAACAAACAACATTCACTTTTGCTCTGTCTGAAAGCTGTAAATGAGTATGAGTTTAAACAGTATTGCCATTAAAATATATAAAACTTAAAAACACCAGCATGAGAAATGTGGAAGTGAGAGACTCACAATGCCATGTAGTTCTGCCACCCTGCTGCACAGATCCGGTCTCAGTTTTTCCAGGGCCTGGTAAAAAGGGTTCTTCAGGATATTCTCATCATACACAGCCATATGTGTCCCGCACTCCAGTTCCTTAGAGAGACAGAGAGACAAGGTGGGGACAAAGAGAAACGCATTAAGCGAAAGAAAGAAAGACCTGAAAATATGGTGAAAAGGCATTTTAGACATGTCAAAGGATGTGGGGGTTGAACTAAAGTGGATTAGCATTACTAATTACTTACGTTTTCTCTCCTGATTGTATTTTGAACTTTAAAAAGCTGTTGTATTTTTCCCATTATAATCTCTTTTTTCAAATATTAAATGGTGTTTGTCAAAACAAGCATGACTTTGACTTTTTATGATCGTTCACACTTACGAATAGTGATCTGAACAGACCCCTATCCATAAGTATTAATGCCAAGATGAATATTCAGAACAAAAATGTGGCGCAATAAAAACGTTATAATAATTTAAAAGAACAGATATGCATGCGTCTGTTCAGACTAACACAACAATTGTTTTCTTTGTTTGTTTGTTATCACATCATAAAAAATGTAATTAAAAACAACTGCAAGATGTAAAGTCACAATTGCGAGGGAAAAATTCATATTTTTTCATTCAGTGGCGGTAACAGGCTTCCATAAATCTTTTTTCCATTGCACTGCTAAGCAAACAGGCCAACCAATAAGATTTACACTTTTAGTCACATGATCAGACCTGCTAGCGTTACATACACCTTGGTAATGACATAACGCTTCAAAAAACACCCTAGCGACCAGTCAGATGACACCAGCATTGTGCCAGTGAGTTTTTCAGAGACTCTTCAAAACACGTACAAAACAACGTACAGTAAACATAACCGTATCCACGTAAATAGAGGCAGAGAGACCATGAGGAGGCCAAGCACTCTACAATAAACTTTATTCAGACTGATGATGAGGAAGAAGACATTAACATTTAAAGCCATACATGTTTCTACCTCAGTTTGAAATTAGTCTTCATTTCAACGAAAACATGTTCGCTCACAGTTGTATTTTTGAGCTAGTCTTGGTTTAGCATCTCACTGCAGGAATTCCCCCACTATGTTCTGAGTGGGAAATAAATACAGTCTATTCTGCTCACTTCCTTAAAATGCATCTTGTGCAGTCTGACCAAAAATACTGTAGACTTACTATCACAAAACCTGTTAAGAACACTTCCGAGACATACCATACCCCCCCCCCCAAAAAAAAAACTTCAAGACCATGAAGAGCATTATTAACCTAGAACTATGAACTTTAAGTTTTAACCAAATAATAGGTAAAAACACACAACAGTTGCCAAAGAGTATACACCAACGTCTCACTCACATATTTACGGTGGTTAAAGAGAGTTTGTGACACCAGGAATAATTTCATCTTTAAACCCTTCAAATGACGGATAAGGAAGAGGAGAGCCATGAAGATGAAGAGGCTTAGGGTGTCCAGGCGAAGATTAAAGAATCACATGGTCGCTCTGAGAGGTCAAGGCCAAAAGTCTGATAATATTCAGGCCTCCACCCCTCATTCTGGGAATCATGGGAAGATTTCCCAGATGACTGTCTGCTGAAACCCTGAAGAATGCAAAATCCGCCATGTGATCTGCTCCTCCAGGCCATAACAAACTGGGCTGAGGGGGAACCACACTCCTGTGATCCTTGCAGGGAGTTCAGTCAACCATGTTTTCCGGTCAACTTTAAAGGGGTCATATGATGCTTTTTTAAAGATCATTATTTTGTGTATTTGGTGTAACAGAATATGTTGACATGCTTTAATGTTCAAAAAACACATTATTTTTCAAATACTGTACATTATTGTAGGTCCTCTATGCCCCGCCTCTCTCAAACGCTTCATTTTCTACAAAGTCCC